ATTTGTGGTCTCTTTTGCTAGAGCGTTGTAAAGACCGTCATCTTGTAATCTTCATCTTGGCTCCTTAAAAATATAAGAGGCCTTTAAGAGCCTGGTAAAGGCCGACTTCTGGCATGCTTGAGAGGATTTCATCATCCCGAGGGAGATAGAACTATTCCAACGCCAGAGACTGAGGGATCCAAAACTACAAGACTAACGCTCTCCTATTGAGATGTAGTCTAGGAGCACATTTAAACTCCTCAGATTGCTCTCTATCATATCGAGGGCCTTCTCTGAATGACACCATCATCATCATCATCCTCAGCTCTCCCAACATGTCCAGCTCGAGCTCATCAATACAGTGGAGGTAGGGCCACCTAATATGACCCTCATGAATAGAAGGTGCCTCAGTCGCTACTGACTCTTCAATAGCTGGCTCCTTTCCCTATCGATGGGTCGACTCGGCCGCTCCTCGATCCAAGCCTGGGCCTCAATAGGCTCGTGTGTCACTATTTCACCCCCTTAACATGAGCGGGGGCTCCTCATTGATGACAATGATGATGTCAGCCTACTCTATATTGACCTGGGGGAGAGTGGTGAGGTCTTTGCCTTCCTTAGCTTCTTGAGTAGGGACAAGTGTGGCCACCTCTACTGCTTTCCCCTCCCTGGACCGAGTCTGCTTGGTGCTTCCAGAGGGACCTTGACCACTTACTTTCTATAGTCATTTCCTCTTCTTCTCAGACCTCTCATACTGAGTAGTGGAAGCGCTTAGCCTAACCAGCCGAGCCGTGATCTCAGCAGCATTCACTGTCACTTCTTTGGACTCCGTTGGGGCCAACTCTAACCTCAGATGCTTTTGGGGCCTGATTAAAGACCCTAACTAAGTCTTGTCTGACTCCTTCAATGGCAAAGACAAGACCGCTGCTCGGATTATATCCTCTTCGGTCGGTGGGACCTTAGAGATGCTAAATACCTGAAACATTGTAGGATCAAACAAGTACTCAATCTTTCGAGAACTAGAATAGGCCCAAATATTCTCAAGCACTTGCTTCTCCTCAACTGTGAGGAAACATGGCCTTAGAACATCTTTCTTAATATCAGGCCAATCCGAGCAAGAGAAAATGAAGTCGTTTCCAAAGACCAAAATGAAATTCTCCTTCCAGTTTTTGTTTAACTCAAGAGCATTCAAGATGATTTTTAAGCATCATAGATTCTAGAAATAATAGCAACCCTCCTTCTTCCCCACCTTAACACTAAGAAGATAGCTGAACATGTAGAGGGTCGGGTGGACTCCAACCTGATGGCAAATCACCTTCAGCCCCACTAGCATAGCGATAGAATTTAGCTTGATTTAGGAGGGCAAGACTCCCAGAGTTTTAAAAATGTGGTGGAGAATAGGGTGGAGCATAAGACAGAGGTTGTACTCCCCGTACTCTAAATGTCAAAGGTACAACGGAGCAATGACCCCGTTGTGGTCATATACTGCCTGAGTCGTCTCCAGCACCAATAGTGTGAATCCTCGAGGGCCACTGTTATGTCATGGAAATGGCTAAGTATTAATCCTTGATGAGGAGTCGACACGTGTCCCACCTTAACCAAATGCTAGATCAGTCACACTTCATCGGTACGACTCGAATGGCTTCGGCACTCAATACCTCCTAAAAAGCATCGAGTTGAAAGGTGTCCTCACTCGACATACCTGTCAAGTCGACACCACTCCTCTCCATTACAAAAGGCTGGGTCGACAACCTTCCAGGCTGACTAAGGCCCATTCACAAGATGAATATGAGAGGCATCACTTGTCGACCCTCTCAGAGAGACAAGTCGAAAGGCGGTGTATCCTCGGGCCCCCTGCCGACAATCGATTGCCATCAATATTAACTACATGTTCAGAGTCATCATTTCTCAAGCCCCAAAAGTCTTTTTGACTCATCAGACCTCATCAGCATTATACACAACCCGACACACTCTCATTAAAAGCTTAGGTGACTCATTCCCCTCTACAGCCAACACCTATAAAGTCACCACCTACTGAGCCGCCTGTTTAGACTCTGCTAAAGTTACTCTTCTACACCTTGGATCTGCTATAAAGGAAACTTGTTATTTGTTGCCTAGGGTAAGCAATCTATTGCTAAAAACACACTTTAACTCTCCTTCTTCTCCACTCAAGCTCTTTACTGACTTGATCGTCGAAGGAACCATTAGAGATCCTAACACAAACCTCTTACGTATTGTTAATGTGTAGGATTGGACTCTCTGCTCAGGAACCAACTATTTAGAGAAGATTAAGGATCCTAACACCCTACATAATCCACAAATAACCTCCTATTAGATAATTGAGATCAACAACTGGCTAGCTAGTGTCCACTCTTTTGATCCAACACATGTTATTTTTGTATGGATGTCTATAGTTTCTGCTACTCCTAGAGAGGTTTTTGAGAAGATGTTCAAGAAAAAGAGTCTATTGGTTTATCCTTTCTTGATCACAAGGATCTGCTAGAATTAGAGGATTCCTACTCTTTAGTGTGATTAATTTGAAAAGGGGAGAGGTGCATTATCGGATGAGATAGCGACGAAGAACATGGCTGTTACGAAGTGGAGTCCACTGCTTGGCAATCATCTAGATTCCATCCTACTGCTACAGATCCTGAGTTCCTCTGGTGTTAGTACTCCTTAGTGGATTCTGTAGTCACTAGGAGAGAGCACGAGGTGATGAGGATTGATATGACATTGATGAGACATACTATGACAGCGCAACACACTTATTACAATGCGTCACTACAATATATTATGGGAGCTCTTCATCACTCAGAACCGTCTCTTAGAAAGTTGCTAGTGTATGGAGATTATTTTATTGGAGCGGTTTCTCTTACTGGAGATCATGATGAGGAGATGCATGGAGATGATGCTGAGGATTGAGAGATTAGGTTATAGTATGCATGTCGGTTTCTTTTTCTTTCTTTTTTATTTTTTATTCGTGACTTGTGTATATTCTTTGGTGATGCTTGAGAAACTATATGTGTACTAACTTTTTTATCTACTATCTAAAAGTTGGATAATTTGCTTAGTTCCATTGCGAAGAATTTGCTCATTTCCATACCTTCACAAGTTCACCTTACTTGTTATATGTAAACTAGTATGCATTCCTTTTCCTTACACATATGGATGTTTTTTATTTGGATTTTTCAAGTATAAAGCATAGCCATTGGTGTGTTTTTTATCTTTTGATAATAACCAAGGGGGGAGAAAATTTGGTGTGAAATTTAAAAAATATAAAAATTTTCTTTGCATGAGTAGAGTTTTTCAACTAAGTGTGTTTCCCAAGTGATTTCATATTTTGATTTGCTTTGAAATTTTTTTTGAAACACTTTGTATATTATTTTAAGGGGAGTTTTTATAATGTCGGTACATGTTTACACTTTGCATGAATGCATGTATGTAGGTGGAATATTGCATTTCTTTTCTTTTTGCATGAAGGTGTATTTGTACTTATTTTTCTCTTTATATACCTCAAATATGTATATATTATAGTATTTTAAATTTTAAGTTTGTTATGATCAAAAGGAAGAGAATGTTAGGATGTAGTCCGTACAATAGCTCGTGTTTGAGTAATAACAAACTCTCATTTGGTACTAATATTCATTTATGATGATATAGTAAAGTGAAAACAGGTATACGAAGATTACAAGGTGAAAAGTTGCAAAATCAATGGTCTATAATAAACCATTGATGGTTAAGGCTCATTGTTTCGTGGAAATTTTGTAATAAAACAATTGAAAGAATTGATTTGATTTATTCCCTCTCACTGATTAGAAAAAGAATGTTTACAACTCTCTTGATCTCTAACTAATTACAATTTGAATTTTTGATTACAAAAGAGAATAGGACAAATATAAATCCTCCCCTTTGTTTAATTTCGGGTTCTTCACAGTGGCGATGGAGTGCCTCCCTCGAATGCTCGCATCGATTTTGCTCTTCGTTGATGATCTGAGCGTTTCCCTTTACTAGAATAATATACTTACGTGGTAAGTATGAAAAAGAACTCTTAACGAGTTTATGAACTTAGAACGAGTTTAAACTCTATGAAAAGAGTTGTTTCAACCAAGAATTCGGTTAATAGTCAAGTGAATTTGTTGTTGCTGAAGGATGCCTCAAGATCTCTTTGTTGCCAATAAGTTCTCTCTAGTCGATCTCCTCGTGATTTTATCCGATGCAAAAGGCCAGCCCCTAAATCTGTTGAGTTTATTGAGATTTATAGGAAGATCAGGGGTGTAACTGACCTCTTAATCCTCTCCTAAGTGGGCGAGATTCCCTAAAATAGTGGAGAAAATTGTTTTGAAGCCGTTCAGCTCATGTTTGAATGAGTCAAACACCAAGGTCGGCTTTCTAGGCCTTAACTCTGCATCTTAGACTTGAGACACATAGTTGGATGTCTTCTAAAGATTAAAAACATAGGGGTCGCCTGTGTTTTGAAAATTGAACGCAGAGGTGAACTCTGCGTTTAGAAGTGGTTGTTGACTTGTAACCTCCTCTATTGGAGCGTTTGCAAAGGCCGTTGTTCTGTAATCTTTGCTTTAGCTCTTTAGGATGTGAGAATCGTCAGATTGTAACTCTCACAGTTGATTGTGAAGATTGTTGAATCAGAGCTTTTATCAGTCGTCATGAAGGTCGTTGAATTGTAACCTTTCTCGATCTAAGTGAAAATCCTCCAATTGCAACTTTTGTTTTGTTGACGTGAAAGTTGTCTGATTATAACTTGTATTGTTAAGATGTTGATTGAAGTTTGATAGGGGTCTGTTATCTGTTATGATTTTTAGACAGCCTACAGAACCACCTCTAAAGTTTTAGAAAAGTTCGCGGTTGACTAGGATGAATTTTTAGAATACTTTGGATCCCAAAATTTATTGAATGATCGTTCACTCCACCTGATTTGAAGACATTGCAAACCAGGTAGTTAGAATGTTGTAATTCTGCTTCCTTAAACCAAACAAGATAACTTTTGTGTCTTGATGACAATGAACTTAGTCAAACAAGCTAAAGTCCAAGTCATTGTCATTAGATCCATTAGTAGGATTAACTTTTTCCTCTTCTTTGACATCAGGAATAACAATATTCTCAGCCGATACAACAGAAGAGGGAACTTTTGAAGCTAATCTGCATGGATCCTTGAGATACTCCTTCAACTTGTATGAAGGTGCATTCAGTGTCAACAACATCAGTAAAAAGATTCTTGTAAGTATTGATGAGCACCCAAGGCGCAACTTCAAGAGTCGGATAAGAAAGAGCCAGTGACAATGAAGCAACCATAGAAACACCAGTTGCAAACTTGCCAATGAGGTCATCCTTAGTGGAGTTAAGCAAATTTGGGCTGAAGACAGATCCATTATCATAGATAGAGAGAACCACAAGCCCGTAAGAGAAGGATCTTATCCCAAGTTTGGCTAGGAAAGCAACCTCAGAAGAACTCACTTTGTCTCCTTTCTTGATCAACTAAATTAGGGCAATGACTTCAACAATTTTCTTGTTAATCTTGGTTGGAATGTTAAGTCATTTGGAAGGATGAGTTGCGTGAAGGATCGAGCTTGATAATATCAACATTATTGATTCTAACATGTCTGTACTCATCCAAGAGGCTGCATAGCTTTTTGTCATAGGCTAGTTTCTTCTCGACTTTCGTCACCTTGATGGCCATTGTTAGCTTCTTTCTAATTATTTGAAGCTGTATGATAGCCCTGGTGGTTGAAGTATTTACTTTGTGGCGTTAAAATGCATAAGTGAATCCTATGCTTGAGATTTGAGACGCAGAGGTGAGCTTTACGTCAGAAATTCAACCAACTTTAACACGAACGTAGAGGTCGTGTTTAGGCGAGATTCTTATCTAGAATCTCGTTCCAATTTGGTAGCTCACAGCTATCTATAAATAGACCATTATGGCCAAATCAAGAGTCATTCAACTCTTCTCCATTCTTTTCTGAACCGTTTAACAAAAGCTCTTCGTTTTAAACTCTAGTGAATTCTGTTCATCTTCTCCGCTTGTCCTCATCAATGGCACCCAGGAAGAAGACCGTATATCAACCCAGGCCTGCTGTCACCATGACTCAGAGTTTGCTATCGGTTTTGATCACCGGTGGCACTGCGGTTTAGGTAGATGTGTCGCTGCCACAATTCCCTTTCGTCGGTGGTAAGTATGGCCTTCGTGGCTGTAAAACTTGCTTCGGCAAGTTCTAACCTTTGAATAATGAGGAAACTCATTTTAATGGCATAACACGGAGTTGGGACTCTCCGTTGTTTGAAATTTGAAGCGTGGGGATTCGACCTTTGCGCTTGAATTTTGTAATGTAGGGCTTGAACTCTGTGTTTGAATGTTGTAACGCAGGGCTTAAATTCTATGTTTGAATGTTACAACGTAGGGCTTGGACTCTGTGTTTAAATGTTGTAACGTAGGGCTTGGACTCTGCGTTTGAATGTTTAACACAGGGTCTAACCTCTGCGTTTGATTATTTTAACGCATGGGAACATTTGAATATTTTAACGCAGGGGAACATTTGAATATTTTAACACAGGGCTTAGACTTTGCGTTTGCATGTTATAACACAGAGTTTGGACTCTGTGTTTGCATGTTGTAATGCATGGCTTGGACTCTGTGTTTACATGTTATAATGTAGGGTCCAACCTCTACGTTTGAATGTTTTAACATAGGACTTGGACTCTACATTTGAATGCTGTAACACAGGGCTTGGATTCTGCATTTGAATGTTGCAACACAGGGCTTGGAGTCTGCATTTAAATATTGTAATGTAGGGCTTGGACTTTGCGTTTGAATGTTTAACGCAGGGTCTAACCTCTACGTTTGAATGTTTTAACGTAGGGCTTGGACTCTACGTTTGAATGTTTAAACGTAGGGCTTGAACTCTGCGTTTGAATATTTTAACACAGGGTCTGACTTTGCGTTTGAATATTTTAACGCAGAGTCTGTCCTCTATGTTTGAAGGGGTTTGACCTCTGCAGTTGAGTTTTGTCTTTTATACTTCATCTTTGCACTAACTGATTACTCTCTTCCTTGGCAATGCCTTATGCCAATGAACCCCTCACTTTTCGCCATCACTTTGGTCATGAAGGTTGTGTAGACTTAAAGATGCCGACAAGGAACGTGCCACTTTGATCACCCAAACTAGCCCAGCCGTACTTAGGACTTTAGTTACGGATGCCCAGTTTGAAACTGAGTCTCATATGAAATTCACCAAGCCAGCATTTCTGCTTAGGGATAATGTTTTCATTCAAAAAGACATTACATATGGTGGAAATTACAAGTGGTTAAGACAGATAGCGGATCGTCGCTTCTTCCTTCCTAACATGCAGAGCATGTTCCCTATCTCTTATTATCAATGCGCTTTCGTCTCCAGACATATGAATTAGAATCTTATCAGAGAACATGATAGAGTAGCAATTGGGACTTTGACTTTGACTAGCATGCATACCTTAGGCTACAACCGACAGGTGTTAGCTTTAGAGTCATGCTTATTCTCAAGAGGGTATCCTATGGGAGAAACAGCTAGTCCAGCCAACACCTTCATGTAGAGATTTTTGGATGTGAAAGGAGATTTCCCTAGAACTCCCGGATGGGTACATTCCACCAGAGCAGGATGGTGGACAAGAATGATAGAATTTGTTTTGAAAGAGTTAGAGGGGCCGTTAGCTTAATCTGGCTCGGCTGCCCTATAATGGCTACCAGATATGGTATTGATCATAGTCATTACAATTTCTATGCTATCTTGGAGAGATACAATCCGGAGACGTGTACATTCTTCACTCCAGTTGGGGAATTAGTGTTTGTTATCCATGACATGTATGACATTTTCCGCCTTTCATTCGGAGATTTACCTAATGAAGAGTTTATCCCAGGGTCGAGTAAGCTTAGGATTTTGAAGGAGACCAGCCATGAGATCTATGACACTCTATGGGAGGTGATGTGTCATTTTCAAATTTATACCCAACTGACGGGGACACGAGGAGGTGGCGTAAAGCAACTGGCCTGGCCCAAATATCTCTTCCAGAATTTATCTCACAAAGTTGTTGTTGTGTCTTGTCGAGATGTGAGTACCCCTGAGACTATTCAAGCTTTGATCAATGACGCTACAGCTCATTATGTAAATGAGGGAAGAGAAGACGGGTTCCCTACTCAGACTGAGTTTAAAAGCTTCCACCACCAAGCTGTCACTCTCATTTTTGACATGGCTTTGCTGGCGGAGTTTCTCATGTTATGGATAAAATGATACGTCTTCCCCACGAGACCGATAGATGCCGTGATAGCAGAAGTAGTCTATCCGTCTGTTCTCTTGGCCCATGGGAGACTTGTGAATTTACTTTCAGCTATGTTGCGATGTTTGCAGTATGGTCTGAGGGAGTTGTTCCTCGAATTCATTCAGGTGAAAGATATAGGCTCCGAAGGGAAGAAAAGTTTGGTAACTCTCAATCCTCGAGTACCATTGCCATATACCTATCTGATGGCATGATACGTATCTCATTATCCTCACATAATGAGTGCACCATCTTCCTCCATTGGTATATTCATCCACTTCGTACAAAAGTTAGAAAAAACCACTTGGGAAGGAACGTACGTAGTAAGGGTTCGTCAAATCTTATCGAGAGATCTCAACTATCATATATTCCATTGCTTGCCAAACTTTGAAGGTAGGGGATATGGACAGGTATTTCAAGACACAGCTAGCCCAAATGGTTTCACTCGATTATATAGAGGAGTCTTTCGCTGGTTACTCAATATCAGACCAGGTTATTTACTTTTCAGGCAGAGTGAGAAGTGTATAATTGAGCTGTACCAATCGTACATGTTTGCCCGACAATTTGGGTACGATCAATTATACATTGGGAATCCACGGGGTCAGCTTGCAACCATTGGTAACCTATATGAAGGATCTCGGGTCTGGTAATATTCTATTACAGGCTGCACTGGAGCTACATTCAGATTACCTCACAAGACACCCAACTCTTTCACCTCCATGGCTTTTTGCAGCCGGTATCACACATCTTCTAAGATGCCTGATTACAAGCTGAATTTGTCTGGCTTACAGGAAATTAGAAAAATGTATTCATCTAGAAAAGGATCCTGAGTATCTCATCTGAAAGGAATCAGCGAGTTCTTATCCTATGAGGATGAAGGTGAAGAAGAAGAGGGCGACCAGGGACTAGAGGGTGCTCAAGAGGGAAATCTTAGGGCTGCCGAAACTCTGAGAATAAGGGCAACTGGAAAAAGGGCTCTTACCAAGGATGAAGTGGGTCAGTACGAGAAACATACACGTAGAAAATTGTTAGCAGATTCTCTTTCACAAAGGTTAATAGCGGATGCTTTTAATTCTGCTGAGAGAGAGGAAAGATAGGAATCTACCGCTGTAAGTCTTCCCCCTCACACTAGACTCCGTTTCTATGTGCCCTGCTTTATCAAGCGGATTTTCTTCCTATCACCCCTTGGATAAGGAAGAGGGAGAGGGTGAGTCGTTTTCTGGGGATGCATAGTCTTTCCCCACAATGGACTCTGTTGCTTCAACATCTCTGGGTCAAGCTTCGGATGTCGTTCCTTCAACCACAGAGGCGATGCCTACAATATCTCAGTCTGAAGGGGTTAAGACTCCCGTAGATTAACTTGTAGTGGACGAACTTGAAAAACTTGATGGAAATCAATCTTCTGCCACTTCAGTATTATTGCCACCTGTAGGGGATACAATCCTCAGCCCAACAATAGGAATCATGACTAAGACAGTTGTAGTCGTAAGTTCTCCTAGACCTTCAGTTGCAGATGAGGAGGAGGAAGTGGATTATGATACTTCTTCCCACAGCGACGGTGTTGATGAGAGGGAAAATGATAGTGATGATAATATCGGTGATTAGGATGTTCCACCACAGCTCTCTTCTGACAAGGCTTCAGCCTACATCCCTCATTCTCCCATCGGTAAGCGTTGTTCACTCTAAACTTTTTGGTATTTTCCTTTTTGTATGCTAACTACTTTATTGTGTAGGATCTCCAACTCATGAGGTCGCTGACACGACTTTGCCTCCTGATCAACAGGCAATAACCACTTCTCTCTCCGGAGCAAGCACCGATAATGATAACTTTTTCATCAGACCAGCAGGTGATGACAACTCCTCCATCAGAGCAAACACAAACAATGACAGCTCCTCCACCAGAGCAAGCACAGATGGTGACAGCTCCTCCATAAGAGAAATCACCTCTATTCATGATTTCTCTCAAACCTACGGAGACTGAGAGTACACTAAGCTCGGCCCAAGCGGGGGTGCTCATGGCTCTCCCTTCAAGTCCTTCAAAATTGGATATTGTAATGGCTTCTCCGGCTTCTTCACCATCATCACTGACTGTTCTCACACCGAGATCAAATAACTTCGGGAGCCCTGGCGACATCTTCTGTCGCTTCTCTAAGTTCGGTGGTCATTCCTTCCATGCTTAAAATTTTTATGAGGTAGTTGGAGGATATGATGAAGATGACGATCGAAGACGATCGAAGAAGTCAGTGCTGGATGAGCTTCATTTGATTCTTTCAGGCTAATATTTTTGAACTGTCTGAGCAGTATCAAATATGTGGACAACACTCAATGGTTTTGTCACTGCTCAGATAATGTCTCTTGATTGGAAGAGGACTTGAAAGCTTTAGAGGAATTGTG